AAATGTATGTTTTCTTCACGTTTCAATTGCTATATACAAATAGGTATAAAATTTTTATCACTTGCTTTGGATTAGTCATAGTGTATACTGAGATGCAAGTATAATTGGCATAATCTCTGATTATGCAGTTATGCTTTGTCTATTTTAATAAATTTACTTTAAAAATATGTGTTCATGAAATGAAAATAACTGAGGAATCAGATACCTTTTTAATAATCACATTTTCCTTCCTTCTTAAAATATTTCTATATAAAAAAAAATATTAAGAGCCAGAAGATGGTGTACTGGTTGTCGCTGGACCCCCACATGGCCTACTGTGGTTTGAGTACCAGACTTGGTGTCTTGAAAATCACACTGGGCAACATCACTTTATGATTAATACTCTTAGCAAGATTGGCATAGAAGGGTAATTTCTCAACACAGCAAAAGCCATATATGAAAAATCTGTAGCTAACATTATACTACTAAAAACTGGTACTAGACAAGGCTACTCACTTTCTCCACTTTTCAGTATAGTGCTGGAAATCTTAGCCACTGCATCACTGCATTCAGAAAAGAAAATAATATAAAAGGCATTTAAATATGCAAAAGAGAGTTGAAAATGTCTTTATTTGCAGATGACATCACGGCATACTTAGAAGACCCAAAGGTTTCCATGAAAAAACTTCTTGAAGTAATAAATGAAAACAGCAAAGTGGCAGGATACAAATTCAACATCCATAAATTTATACCATTTCTGTATATGGACAACAAGTTAACTGACGTAGAACAGAAGAAAGGAATCCCTTTTACCATAGCCACAAATGTATAAGATATCTAGGTATAAACCTAACTAAGGAGTCAAAAACCTTAAAAGAAAACTATGAAAATCTTTTAAAAGATATTGAAAATGACACAAAAAGTGGAACAAAAGAATTAATACAATCAAACTGGCAAGTCTACCCAAATTGATCTATATATTTAATGTGATTCCAATCAAATTACCGGAGACATTTTTCACAGATCTGGAAAAGACAATCATAAAATTTGTCTGGAATCATAGAAGACCTTGTATTGCCAAACAATTCTGCTCAAGAAGAGTGGAGTAGGTGGCATCTCACTTCCTGTGAGATAATCAAAACAGAATGGTATGGGCACAAAAACAGACAGGTAGACCAATGGAATAAACTGGAGACCCCAGAAATGAACACCAAAATACACAGCCAACTGATTTTTGCGGGGAGATGTTTTGCTATAGGGTGTGTGCACTTACCAGAAAGACAGAGAGAGACAGAGAGACAGAAAGAGAGAAATTCCCTCCCAGGGTGGATGACCATGCCACAACCCCTTGTCCTCCTTTCTCCTGTCGGGATCTTGGGCACACACTCACATGCACCCAGCATGAGTTTAAGCCACCGGGTCTGGGACTCAAACCTCAGTCAACTACATGGGAGTCCAGCGACATAGCCATAACACTAACTGCTGTTTCCAGTCAACTGATTTTTGACAAATGATACCATTCAATCCAGTGGGGAAAGAAAAACCTCTTTAGCAAATGGTTCTGGAAGAACTGGGTTTCCACCTTCAGAGAAAATGACACTGGATCTCCATCTTTCACCATTAACAAAAATTAACTTAAAATGGATCAAAGATCTGAACCTAAGACATTGCGGTAGGCAATAACTTCTTAAATAAGACTCCCAAAGCACAGGTAGTAATCCCGAAAATAGACAAGAGAGGTTACATGAGATTAAGAAGTTTCTGCACAGCAAAGGACACAGTAATTAGTGTCAATCAGCAACCCTCAGAACAGGAGAATACTTTTGTAAACTATGCCTCATATAAGGGACTGATAACCAGAGTTCACAGGGAACTCAGTGGCTTATCTGGAAAAAAGTGATTAACTAATTAAAAGATAGGGAAATGAGCTGAACAAAAAACTCTCTAAGGAAGACAGACATATGAACAGCCAAAAAGCATATGAGGAAATGTTCAACATCCCTCATCATAAAAGAGATGCAGATTAAAACCACAATGAGATACTACCTAACCCCTGTCAAAATGGCAAAGATTAAAAATACAAAAAATAAGTGTTGGCAGGGCTCTGGTGAAAGGGAAACTCTCCTACACTGTTCATGGGAATGTAAATTGGTCCAACCACTATGGAAAACAATATGGAGTTTCCTCAAAGACCTACAAATAGAACTACCATGTGATCCAGTAATTCTACTCCTGGGTATCTACCTAAAGGACAGGAGAATGCTCAGTTTGAAAAGCGCTTGCAGATTAATGTCTATTATGACCTTATTCATGATTGCTAAGACATGGAACCAACCCAAATGTTCAACTAAAAATGAATGGCTTGAAAAAGTGTGGCACATATACTCTATGGAATACTATTCAGCCATAAAAACAAGACCCTGGCATTTGATAGAAAGTGGTTGAATATGGAAAATTTATTGCTGAATGAAGCAAGTCAGGCTATGAAAGAGAGACATTGTATGTCTCCACTTAATATATACCAACTGCACTCTATGGTAGAAATTGAAAGATTGTAGGACATAAAAGCAGTGAAAATAGTTTTGAACCCTAGAGACAGTGTAGAAGGAGAGTGGGAGAGGGGAAGAATATAGGGAAGGAAATAAGGGAGAAAAAAATAGAGATGCAAGACTTCTGTGAGACACAAAAATGGTTTATTACATTGATGATAACCTGTATAGTATTATCTTCTGGACTGGTCTGATGTACATTTCATGTTGGGTAAATTCTCTTTACAAGCCAAATGATGTATAGTGATCAAATGTTTAAAAATAATAAGAAAATTTTTATAAAAGAGAAAATCATGCTAGATGCAGGTACCTGTGTGCCCAAAATGCAGGATTAGAGATTGCAGCCTGGCCATAAAACCTCTCAAAAAACCAACCAACCAAACAAACAAACAAAAAAAAAACACACATTGATAAATAATTTTTTAGAGTTTTTATTGCTAATAAATGGCAAGGTATGAAATCAAATGTTGACTATTTTAAGTTGGTTTTAATTCACAAATCCTTATATGAGCATGTAATGCTTTGTTTCATGGTTTGTTTCTTAAATGGAGTTTGAAGACATTACAATTTTTAATTTTTTAAGTAATATTATCAGATATGTAGATAAGAAAATTTCCTGCGTTGTTCAACTGCAAAGAATGGGCTTAAAAACAAAACTGACAATTGAGGTTATTTTTATTTTTATTATTTCAAATTAGGAAAGAAATTAGATTTTTCTATAACACTCGGTTCTGTCAATAAAAAAAATTTGACCAAAGTAATTTATATCAGGCAGTCACAATCCAGTATCTCCTAATTTCAGAATTGATAAAGCACAGAATATTTTCAGTTGGAATCTATGCCAGAGTTACTTAGATTTGTTAGTGAGAAAACTGAGATCCAGAAAGGTTAACAACTTAATTTTCTGTTTGGATTTACAATAAGGACTTAAGATTCCCCAGCACATTGTGCCATGGCATTATTTTGTCACCATCATTCCCTTCAGTTTTATATTTCCATGAGGGAAAAAAATCATTAGTTTTAGGAACAGAGTCAAAAAATCCTTTCTTCAGCTGATCTTGAATCTACCATTCCTACCCGAGACTCTCGGAAACCAGATTTATGGCCTAGCTGCCATGGCACAGTGGTAGTGCACCAACAATGCTGGGGCCATACAGAAGATCATGATTCAGTTCTTGGGTTGGTTTCCACAAATAGGACACATGTTGACAGGCTCATGAATCAAACTAGCTGAGAAGGCTAGGGAAAGGATTGTGATGTGAGACCCTATTGAAGGTGTTTTTCTGTCTCTCTCTCTTTCTCTTAATAAATAAACTTTAAAAAGAAAAAAAAAAAAAAAAAAAAAAACCCAAAATTTTGTTTTTTTTTCCCCATACCG